CCGTTCACCATATTTGCAGATGTGGTATTGAGTAATTGACCCAGGCCAACCTAACAACTATTAGCATTTCTCCTACCTTGGTCCTATACCAGGCAGATACATGGGGGATAGGAGCCAAGGGTGTGTTAGTGTAGGCTGGCTGCCAGCTTTTAGAGCAGTAAAGACTAACTGTACTGACGATCTTCCTGCTGCCGCAACAAGAGACACTGTGAACACCACTGTACATGTGGTCTTTGAACCTAAACGTCCAACCATTCGTGTTACATTTATCACTGGTATCTGAAGAAAGAATCACTTCAAGTAGTATTAACTTCTTCATCCACTTTATCTGGTGCTAAATGGAACAAGCCACATTATGATACCTTTACTGTATACATACACGATTCTTTAAAACAGAAGATGTCATTCAGAGCTAGTTTACTTGAACCAATACAAATTCCATCAGGTAAGTAGGAACCTATCAAAATCATGATTTCATGGAAATCATGAAATCCAGGCTCGCCCATGAAAGTGGACAAGGTCCACAAGAATCTACTGAAAATAAAATGCTGGCTTCCCAGAGGGAGAGCCCACACGAAGGAGAGGCCAAGATGGCTCCCACCCCTTGCCATTGATCTGCTGAGGGCTGCCTGCCAGTGCAGCCCTGCCCCTCTCCACCAATGGATAGCAAGGGGCAGGGCTGCATGACAGGTAGCCCTTGCAACTAAATAGTGGCAAGGGGCAGGGCCACTGGCCGCCTTTGGCCAATCAGAGGTGTGGAAGGGGCAGGTGCCACAATCAGCCCTGGGAGATGGTGGGGTAGGCTGCCATTTTCCTGCAAAATCTACCAGCTGCCTCCTTGAGATGGGTAGACCCCTACTGATTCATGGAAGCTTAGGGCTACAAGGGATCTGGTGAGGTCATTGGGTCCAGCCCCCCCTGCTCTGGGCAGGAAAGACTGCTGGGGGGTCAAATAATCCCAGCAAAGTGTGTGTTCAGTTTCTTTTTGAAGATCTCCAGGGTAGGTGCCTGAACCACCCCTGCTGGGAGTCTGTTCCAGACTCTGGTCACACAAACCGTGAAGAAGTTTTTCTTTATATCCAGTCTGTTAAGCCTCTGAAGTTTGTATTTTGGTGGGGATGGAGAATGCTGGTGCTCATGTATTATAGACTTTGCTAAGACACTACAAGCAACTTTGTTTACAAATATTTTTAAAAGTACCCCTCACCATGCAGTTGTTGGCTGGTCAGTGCAATCCTGCTCCTTCCAGGTCCTTGGAAACCTGCATCTCTGGGTTTGGCAGTAAGAAGAGCAGTTACTTGTCCCAAATGGTTTATAAAGGATTAGAGGAGTCACAGCCCTGGATCATACCATTAATAGGTGCTTCCAAAAAAGGTGCAAGAAAAGCTGAAACAGACTTTTATGGAATAACTTGCCCTCTAGAGAATTTTTTCCTAATTTCAAGCAGTCAGTGTTGTCTTATGCCCTGAACATTATGGAATTATATCCTAACATAGCATAAAATACTTTTTGGTGTTTGACGGCACAAGTACACAGATCCTCTTTACGCATATTTTTTCTTTTGATGAAAGAAGGGGAAGTGGGCCACAACAGAGCACAGGGTGACTGAACTAGGAAGGCAAGTTTGCAGCTTGCAAGTACTGCCATTTAAATAGAGTTTTTCAGTGCAAGGAGCAAGGATTTTGTTTGGTACCGTCGACTACACCAGCTGTACGTGGACAGAGCTGCTGGACAAGGGTTCAGGCATCAGGTGCTGCGCCCCAGGGACCTCAGGCCAGCGCACACCTGAGAAATCGTGTTTGACAGCCCAAAGCTCGGCCAGCAGCTCTGCCTGCTGCACAGCTGGTGCAATAGACAGTACCAGTGTCCTCTCCTCTCCTCTCAGCTTCTCGATCAATCACAGCTAGGGCAGCGCCTGGCCCTTCCTCTGCCCCAGGCTCAGGCTGGGGCCAGGTCTGCCCGTGACAACAGCGCCACCAGCCCTGCGGCCGGCGCACGGGCCAAGGGCCAAATCCGCAGCGGTGGCTGCCACGGCTTCCCGCAGGGGTGGTGGAGATGCATCCTGTTGCCCTGCCTGGCCCAGCCGCGCGTTACCTTAGGGGTCTTGAGCAGGAAGCGGGGCCGCCCGTCATCCACGCCCAGCCGCGCCTTCAGCTCCAGCAACTTGGCCACCTGCTCCGCCACCTGCAGATATGAGACGGGGCCAAATGAGGGGCCGCGCAGGGCCTCCCAGGCACGGGCCAGCGCCCAACCGTGCACGGCCTCACCTCCTCGGTGCCGGCCCGCTCCTGCTTCAGTCGCCGCACCGTGTCCGCCTGCAGTCGCAGCGCCTCAGCCAACTCCGCTGCCTCAGCCGCCATAGTGTCGCCACTGCCGCCGGTTCCCCGCTGGCGCCTGCGCAAAAGCAAGGCGCAGGCCCCACCCCCACGGCCCAGGACGAGGCCCGCACGTCACCGCTACTGCCCTGCGCCGAGGCCGACGGGAGACTCCTCTGACTTCCGGCCGCGCGGAAACAGGAAGGCGGAGCTGGAGAACTTCCACTTAGTAGGACCAGCCGAGCCGCGTCATTAACGGCTGGGGTCGGAGCAGCACTTCCGGTTGTTCTGTCACCGGAAGAGGAACATGAGCTACAGGAAGTGACCAATGAGCCGTGGGCGAGGTTTCTAGTGCTTTCCCTTTCCGCGCTCTGAGCGACCCCTAGGGGCCGGAAGCGCGCTCTGGAAATGCTCTCCAATTGCTGCCGCCGCGTCCCGCGGGCCCCGCCCCCGCCGTACCTGGCTCAACCGCGCGCCGGCCCCGGCCCCACCGCGCCCGCACGCGGAAGCCAGGCCGCCTGCTGCCACATGCCGCCTCTTCATTCTACGCCCCGCACCCGGGCCTGAGTGAAGCACCCACTGCATCATCCACGTGCTGTGACCAGGTCCACGACAGGTGCAGGTGCAGGAAACCGACAACCGCCCTGCAGGGAAGCAGCTGGCGTCCCGCCGCATCCAGCCCGTGTCCTCAGGCCCCAGGGCAGCACCAACCACTGAGATCAGTCACCCACAGTAACTCTTGCCTTGTTTCTCAGGCCTTTAACTTGTTCTTTTTCTGAAATAGGCTTGCAAACTGCCCCTGCGGGTAGTAGCCTTGCCACTTTCTTCTGTAAAACTCACCACCTGCACCCGCTCACCCTGGATATCCAGCTGTATTCCTGTTCTCCCCCCTCCCAACAAAGTCCCTAGGGATAGATTCTGGCTGTTGCCCATAACCTTGTTAACCATCTAACTAGCCACCTAGGGGACACACTTGGATTTCTGTTCATAATTTTGCAAGTCTGGGCTCATCCAGTTTTCTCAAGAAGAAAGTGTAACCAGCGTGGTTCTGGTCCAGCTCCTCCCTCACATGCAACTCTCTTTAAACCCCCAGGCAAAGCTTCATATACTTTTCATGTTCCTCATAATGGTCCCACCTTCCTTGGTTATTTTAGTTTATGTTCCAGTTTTTCTTAGAATGGTATATCCTGACTATGGATGCAGGAACACAGGTATGAAAATTCCCTATGTGGGTATACCTTATTTAGGAATAAGTTATAGCAGAAGCAAAGCACCTTTACACTGGTGTAACTACAGCTATACTAGGGACAGCTGTGCTGTTTTCACATGTATAGTTAGAATAGTTTGGCTGTTTGGAATAGACCAACCCTTTTAAGATCTATGGCCTTTTCCCACACTTAAAAAAATAAAAGGTTGTCTAAGGACTCATAGCAGATTAGGGGTGGCCTTTAATAATTTATGGATAACATGTCTTGAATTGGTTATTGGGAAGCTTAGTGCACTCATGGACACAATTAGTTCCATAGGAGGATTTTCAGATAATGTTCACAAGAAGAGGGAGTTGGCTCCACATACCCCTTCTCCCATGAAACCTTAAGCCCTGTCCAAAAATAATGGCAGGGCCATGAGTTTTTCTTTATTTTTGTAGCTAAATCCCAGCCACTGCTGTGGTAGCCAGACTAGGAACCAGGCCATAACAGATCTAATGGTTAAGGGACTATATACACCATTAAATTCTGCTCAAAGACAGAAGGGGGCAGAGTTTTCACTGAACAAAAAGGACCCCAGAATATGCAGAGACAGAAGACGGACAGATTTCAGGGAATGTCAGACATCCCATGAGCCCCATGAGGATGAGGTCCCTATATGAACCAGGCATTTTGTTTTAACTTTTTCTGAATTATGTTGTTCCCATGGGCAAACATAATAATTTTAAGGCAGCAGTTTGGGGTTCCCCAAGGAACTGTTTAGGTCTAACTGGCTTCAGGTACTTGAGTAAGAACCACTGGTATCCAACATCATGATGCAGCACCTGGTCTAAGGAAGGGAAAACAGTGATTCCACCCGGAGACCTCAGAGGACACAAATGCACTAGGCCCCAAATCATGGCAGACCTTGTCTACCTGGGAAAAGCTTATGAACAGCAGCATGACCTGTGAACGTAACCCCTATGTCTCAATAGATAGTCTTATATAAGAGTGCCTTTTTTGGTTTAGCTTGCATCCCTTGCAGACATACAAGCTAAAGCCACTACTCAGGTTTACTCATTTGAAAATGGTCCTGCTTCTGAAAAGAAACACAGTATTCTGAACTGTAGTCAGCCAGGGAAACTTTCTTTTACAATTGAAAATAAATCCCAGTCAGCTATCCATTCAAGTGCCAGTAAACTCAAGTGCAGCATATTACTATTTCATGACAGATAGAAACAGCTGTCATAGATACTTGACGACCTGGTGTATCTATTTATATCACTTTTCAGTTTGGAAAGAAACCCAAGTCTTGGTAACAGTGCAGCACAGCTTCATTCTCATTCACTTTAGAAAGTGCCAGAGATAAGATTGAAGATCATTAAGCTCAAAAGGCAGCTTTGCCCACTGAGGAGGTATATGGCTATTGTGATGCAAAAAGCCAACAGTCCACACCAAATTGAATCTTGGGCTAAACACAAGGAGATTAAAGAACATCTGAGAAACAGTCATTTAATTGTATTCTGGAAAGCAGTGGCCACCCACTTTCTTCATGTACAAAATTAGCAGGAGCGAGCTAGTTCAGCCCTAAACTGGGGGGTAGCAAAAATACAGACTAGGGAACTAACCTTTGAGTGATTCCGAGGCCCCTTAAAGGTGAAAGGTAATGTTTTCATGGAAGTTCCAGATACTTGATAATGCTCACAAGATTTCTCTTAAGCACACAAATCAATACATCATCTTGCAAAGGCATCTGACCATTGTACAGGAATAAGCAATTGCAAATTCCTTCCGTGTTCCTGAACAGCTGGTTAAACCTTTTGTGTCATGGCAAAAATAATTTGTCTGAAAAATTGTAGCATGACTTCTGATGGGACCAATGAGCTTACTATCATGACACTGAATATACATTAAACAGACCCACTCCTTGGGTTAATTAACCCAAGAGCATTAACTACATAGTAATATACTTTGTGCCTTTGTCTGTTCTGCACAAGCTGAGATTTCCCAATTCCGTGATTTGGTACAGACAAATTAGTCTCAGCACAATAGAAGGTGGCCAGATTTCTGCCCAGATGGCACGGCTCAGATCCTCAAGGACTTGGCCAGGTGACACTGAATTAGTTCAGGGATCTAGATGCTCCAATTGCTTGAAAAAAATTCATGCAGCCCCAAAATGCTCCTGTGAGTCAAACTGCTGTGGACAATTCTAGGACTCCAACCTTCTCCTGATCTCCTCAAGAAGCTTCTGTCTTGGGATATCAACCTACAAAGCAAACAGGAAGAAAGTGGTAACAGCGATACCACTTGTATCCCAGAGGAGCTGTCCAATGCTCCCAACTCGCTTCAAGAGGTCCAATCTTTCCCAGGCAGCCACCCAGGCTTCTCATCTGTTGTCCCTCTGGAGCACTCTGCTCTATGTATTCTTTCTGCCTGTCTAATACTGCCTCCTTACTCTTCCCAAGGACATACTCTATGATCACCAAGGAGAGGGCAGGGAAGGAATTATGCTGAGGTGCTTAGAGCTTCCTATGCCCTTGGGAAAGGATTAGATTATTCAGAGAGCATCAGTGACACATAACCATGAGGAAAGCTTCCTAAAATCTTCAGACCAACTTGTAAAGCTGATGTATTCATGTCTGGCAGCAGATAAATTAAGATCTGTAGTGCAAGCCAGAACTACCAACTAGACCCTAACAGCCTGAGACAATGTTTAGAACTCTTACAACCAGTGGATTTCTGAAGCATCCTTTGGACTCTCCTAACCCAACTCTGACAAGCAAGTGTCCTCACCTCTTGCCTAGTAGCTACATCTCGCAGCTTGACGACTCCATCCTTCAGCTCCTGCTCACCTATGATGGCAGCAAGAGGGATGCCTGTATCCTCACAGTAATGCAGCTGCTTCAGCAGCTTGGGGTTCTCTCTGTACAGCATCTCTGCCTAGAGGGAAACAAGGGCCAAGTGTTAAATGGGGCATGGGGGTGCATTCAGGAACTTACACAAAGTCCGTTCCTGCTCCTGATAGGACCCAGAAGCAGAACAAGCTTGAAACTCAATGGACTCTCACTTTCCCTTAGCAGTACAGATGTTTCCTGCAGCCTCTGTACCAGCAGTTGCCTGCCTTTTTCATGCCTGCCTCTGGCCCAGACCCAATCATCAACAGATTGGTGGATTTGATCTTGTTGCATCACATCTCTGCAGAGACTCTCTCTTCCAACTCATCATTCAGGACTGACTTTAACAAACCCAACTGGGCCAATCCAACTGCTGACTCATACCTTGATCCCAGCATCCCACAGTTCAGAAATAAGCTTCAATCTTGCAGCAAGGAAGTGCTTCTGTGGAGCTGCCACCAGCACCTGAGTTTCAGTTGTTCGAATCTTTTCTTTGGAAGCCTAAGAGCATGAACAGTTATCAAACTGAATGAGACTAACGGAAACATCTCATAACATACGAAACTAAAGGTTGTGAGGTACCAAACAGAGGCTTCCCATTTTCTCCTTGACCCATCATTGCAGAATACTACCCCTTTCTTAACACAGTATAAGCAAGGGGGAATATGAGAAAAATCACTTTTCAAAGAATGTTATTGAGCAAAGTCAAGTTCTTGCAAACATGGAAGGGCAAGAGTAAAGATTGCCTATGCAGCCGTAACTAGGCTGCCTTCTGCACATGTATTATGATGCAATTTTTAAATCTTTTGCTATTTTTATCTAAAGATTCTCAACGTTATCGACTCCATGGGATGGATCTGGCATGTGGATCTGTTCAACAGTTCTTCTGATCCTCTCTGTACAATGTCTATGCCTCATACACCATACATCACCCAACCTTTAACATGAATTAATAGTTTCTTTGTAGGTTTCTGTGGCTTTTTGAGAAGCCCATTACAATCTGGGCTTCACAACTCCCAAAGTTTATTTTTACAACACCTAGGAGATAAGTACTTCACAGACAAATGAGCAGAGAAAACTTTATCTAAGCCATAGAATAAGTGACTGGCAGAGCCAGGATAAAAACTCACTGCCTGTTATCCAGTTCTGCTATAGTAGACTCCCGGGAAAACTTTCCAGGTGACTGGTCCAGGGTCACACAAGAAACCTGTGGCTACATCAAGGATAGGATGCTCTTCTTGTGACTGAATGGCTCAAGGGTTTCCCCATGCACTACAGATCTTCCACTTTTTGTAACAAGAGGCAATGGCTTCTTTCACTATTGATTGGTCCCCACTGATCAGGGCTGTGTTTTGAAGGTAGGCAATGCCTCATTTTTTGTAGAACAGTGATTCTCAGCCAGTGTCTCATGGCACTCTGGGGTGCTCTGAGATCCTTTCAAGAGTGCCAGAAGGTGCCATGCAATGTTAGCACTGTTAGATGTACAAACATGATTCACAATATAGATTGAAAGTTTTGAAACAGGAATCTACAATGTCAAAAACTCTGACTTACTCCGGTTTGAGTTATTTGCAACAGAATTGCTCTATTATTTTTCTATAGTCAAAACAAGTGAAAACTAAAGAGCTGGAGTGTTCCAAGGGATACCTCATGTGTACTGAGGGTTTATGAAGGGGTGCCTGAGATCTAAAAATATGGATAACCACAGTTGTAGAAACTGGAAAGTCTGTAGTGGATGTGGAAGGGGATTACAGTAAAAGTAATTAACAACTTGTGGGAAAATTACTCAGGAGAACAGAACAGCAGCTATAGGCGAGTCAGCAATAAGCTTTCCCATTTAATCATGCACCAGTCAAATGAAAGAAAGTTTTCATAGAAGGTCACTACATTGAATTTTAATTTCCAAGTAAGGCACAGCAGCACTTACCTTCACTTTACAGTTCACAATGGAAAAGATCCGCTCGATTCCAATGCTAACGCCCACGCAGGGCACTTTCTGCCTCTTGGAATCAAACATCCCCACCAGCCCATCGTAGCGGCCGCCTCCAGCCACACTGCCAACATCAACCAACTCCTCCACACGGTCATTCTGCTGCTGGATCAGGACAGCCTCGTAGATCACCCCTGTGTAATAATTAAGACCCCGGGCCAAACTCAGGTCAAAGGAGATCTGTGCAACAGAAAGGGAATTCCGTTACTGGGCACAACCAGAAATGCTCAAGGCCACTCAGCCAGGTTCACAGCATCCCTCTTTGCCCCCTGCCTCCACTCACCTTGTCTACGATGCCAAATAACATCAGGTACTCAAACAACAGCTTCATGTCTCTCAGCCCCTCCCCAGCCAGCTTGTTGTGGGAGAGTCTTGGGTCCTGGAGTAGCTGTTCAACCAGGTCCAGCCCACCTGCAAAAACAGGACTCACAACTGAAACCTACCAGGCAGGAAGGGTGAAACTGCCTGGCCACAGCTCCTAGGACTCGCTCTACCCAGGACAGTTCACAGCCACCTGCTCGCTCCTCTAGCCTTATACATCTTCACTTCCCCTCAAGAGAGAGCCAGCCACATTCAGATAGGCCTAGGAAGCAGCAACCCAGGGTCTGCAAAACGCTGACCCTCCTTGTGCAGGGGCTGAGCAAGTTTGAGTGGTTGCTGCATGGGTGATATGACCCACAGGGATCCCTGCTGGCCTGGGTGCCCAAGCACTGGGGCAAGATTCCACAAAATTTACCATGGAGTTTAACATATTCCCCAATGAGATCTGCAGCCTCAGGCGTAAGCCCCTTCTCTCCAACCATCTCGTTCTTCACGTCCTCCCATGTCATCTGTGGAGGGAGATAAAAGTTTCAGTCATAGCTCCCAGGCTAAAGCTGTTGCACTTTGTGGCATGCAAAACCCTTTTACAAGCTTCACCATTCCAGGCCTATGCAAGCCACAAATTCAAAAGGCTTTCCTGCAGCAAGACTGGCAGGAATGGAGAGAACACTGTAGTAGGCAGCAGTCAGTGCCTGGCCACTAGGACTGAGGAGCTTTACCTTGTTCAGTTTATCCACGGTAGAGCAAGCAGCTTGTAATTTGCTTTCTGGAACCCCACAAGCTGCAAATACCCCACTCAGAATACGCCGGTCATTGACCTGGAAGAAACAGTCAGTTACTCTCAATAGGAATTTTGTGGAGAATCCCCAGGAAGTTGCAGCTAGTCCAGCTCAACTTCTCAAGCTGGTTATTGGATTCTCCTCACCATTCCTTCATAAGCCCTGTTTTTTCTAGAGCACAGTGGCGAAGGTGATGAATGGTTCTGCAGGTACATTCTGGCCTGCGCAGGACCGGACATACAAAAGCAACCCAGCTCTTCTTTACCTTAATGAGAAAATTGCCAAGTTGGAGGGCAGACAGGATCTCATGTATGATCTTCAGACACTCAGCATCAGGAATCATGGGGTCACACTGGCCAGCAATGTCAAAATCCTGACACGTGGGGAAAAGCAGTGAGAATCCAGGCACTACTACCCAGCTAGGACATCCCCGATGTAATCTGCCCATCCCACACTTGGGAGATCAAGCCTTCAGTGCAGAGGCCTCAGCTCCAAGTTCTCTCACTCAGCCTGTTACATAACTGGTTTATGGGGGAGTTAAAAAAAAAAAAGCCTAGAAAAATTTGAAAAAACACCCTAGTACATACTACCTGGAATCAAGGCTCTAGAAGGACCACAAACACTGCAAATTTTCTAAGTACTGTCAGGAAAACCAACACAGTCCAGCCAAACTTCTCTCTCTATACAAGGCCAATGCCCAATGCTTTAAAAAAAAAATCTCCTTCCCAAAACAAACAAACAAAAAAACAACCCAAAAGCCAAATAATGTATTCACAGGGAGGAAAAAAAAAGACCTCTTGGCTTCTACAAGGAATGAGGAGAAACTGACACAATGAATAACCACATACCTCCCACTGAGATAAGCTTCCAATGGAAAATTAAGAAATTTCTAATGGTAGCCACTGGAATGGGTGTAAACCAACAATAACTTGACATACACCTCCAACCAGGCTTAACTGTTTAACATTGTAACAATAAAACAAGGGTTTCATTAACATGTCCTTTTACTGCCTGACATTTTAACATAACATACCCAGACAAAAATGGAGCTCTCTTCCTCCCTTCTCTCCCCTGCACTTCATTGAAGGATTAGGAACCCAGATTCACACACAGCCCCTCATTCCTAGATTACTGTAGCAAAGACTGGCTCAAACACCCTGCTCCTCCAGCCATGGCTACTCACACACTGGTAGAACTCCCTGTAGCGGCCCCTCGTCATGACTGGGTTATCCCTCCTGTAAACTTTAGCAATGTGGTAGCGTTTAATGTTGGTGATTTTGTTCATGGCCAAATAACGAGCAAAGGGCACCTGAGAACAAAGGGTTAAGGATGGAAACTGGAGAGCATCTCCCAAGGCCTGCAGCCACCCAGACTTATCGCTTTGTAGGCAACTACCAAGCCAATACAACACAACTTTACAGCAAGTCTCAGGCTAATGTAAAGTACTGCAAAATATTCTTCCGGGCAGGGAAATCAGGGCTTGTGTGACCACTTTCCAATTAATCTCACTAACAATAATGCTGAGAAAACACAGCTCCTCTGCTGGGTCTTTGTGGCTTTTGATGATTTAGTTCCGATACAAACTAGATTAAATAGATAATTGGATGGAATATACTAAGGATAGACACCTCATGGAATAAAAATACCTTGTTGTGCAATTTGAACAGAGATGGAGAATCAGAGAGAGACAGAGGTCCTACATGGAAGACCTATTTAGTACCAGTAAGAAAGACAATGGCTCTTCTAAGAAAAGGAAGTTGAATGGAGGGAAAGGAAGGAAGCTAGGGTCAGATGAGTGCAGGGAAGGGGGTCAAGAGAGTAGGAAGAGACAAGGAACAATGTCTATAGGGAATGCTGGAGCAAGCATACAGCTTCTATGAAAAAAAGTGAATTTTGGCTTAGATCTTGAATCAACTGGGGAGCTGCTTTTGAGGCATAGAGCATTCTAAGCACCACTTCTCTCACCCCATTCTCATTAAAATATTAGGCAACTGTGGTGTCGATGCCTACAGTCATATGGGTCGCAAATTGGTTGGAGGGCTGCACCCACAGAGTGGTGGTGGACGGGTCATTTTCGACCTGGAGCGACGTGGCCAGTGGGGTTCCCCAGGGCTCAGTCCTCGAGCCCACACTGTTCAACATTTTCATCAGCGACTTGGACGAGGGGGTGAAAAGCACCTTGCTCAGATTCGCGGATGACACTAAGATGTGGGGAGAAGTGGGCAGGCTAGAGGAGAGGGACAGGCTGCAACTAGATCTGGACAGGTTACAGGGGTGCATGGATGAGAACAGGATGGGTTTCAATACTGACAAGTACAAGGTATTGCACGTGGGGAGGAAGAACCAGCAGCGTACCTACAGGCTGGAAAACTCCCTTCTTGTCAGCACAGAGGCAGAAAAGGATCTTGGAGTCATTACTGATTCCAAGATGAATATGGGCCACCAATGTGAGAATGCGGTCAGGAAGGCTGACTGCACCTTGTCACGCATCCACAGATTCATCACGAGCAGATCCAAGGAGGTGATCCTCCTTCTCTATGCGACACTTGTCAGGCCACAGTTGGGAGTACTGTGTCCAGTTCTGGGCAACGCACTTCAGGAGAGATGTGGCCAGCATTGAGAGGGTCCAGAGGAGGGCCACTTGCGTGATCAGGGGGCAGCAAGGCAGGCCCTACGAGGGAAGGCTACGGGACCTGAACCTGTTCAGCCTCCACAAGAGGAGGCTGAGAGGGGATCTGGTGGCAGTGTATAAACTGGCCAAGGGGGACCAGCAGGCAATGGGAGAGTCCCTGTTCCCCCGAGCACTACTGGGAGTAACAAGGAATAATGCCCATAAGTTGACCGAGAGTAGATTCAGGCTAGATATCAGGAGACACTACTTCACAGTCAGGGGAGCTAGGATCTGGTACCAACTTCCAAGGGAAGTGGTGTTCGCTCCTACCCTGGGGGTCTTCTAAAGGAGGCTAGATAATCACCTAGCTGGGGTCATTTGACCCCAGACTCTTTCCTGCCCATGTCAGGGGGTCGGACTTGATGATCTGCTCAGGTCCCTTCGGACTCTACCAACTATGAAACTTCCCTGCAGATGATTTTGAATAGTGCTGCCCCAAAAGGTTTTTAGTAAACGTAAGCTAATTGCTCACAGAATGTGGATGTTAGTGAAAACAAGGAAAGGATAAAGGGACGATGCATATTTTAAACATAATTGATGCATATAAATAGACTTAAAATGCATATGAACATAATTAATTGACATGTAGTATAAGTAATGAGAATAAATAAAGAGTCAAAAGTTTTTTATTAAATGGTATTGTTAAAAAAAAGATATTTGTTTGTGATCAGATCTTGTATTTGAAGTATATTCCAGCACCATGCCAGAGTACACTTTTACTATTGTTTGAGCCATCTGAGTAACCGTGTTTCACTAAAGTGAAACTTTGCTTTCATGACTTATTGTTCTTTGATTTTACAGTAACCATATAGCAGCTTTTAGTGCAAGTTAGAAAATGCTTATTAGACAAATCTCGTTTTTTAAGGATTAGTGCTGTTTTTTAAAACTAAGGATTGGCAACCTATGGCTTGTGAAGTGTGATGCAGAGGTCCAATCCAGTACAGTGGATTGGTCCTCTCAGAGCTGTGCTGCACTACCCCACGACTTTGCAGTACTCCCCTCAGCTGCAGAACTTGCTGCTCTCTACAACATTTGAGCTTACTTTGCTGCAGAGGGGCAGATACTGGGCAATGCTTGTAAGCACTGTCTTGCCCTAGTAAAAGCCTGACAACCCCTGGTCATAAGTCTTTCGGTATCTAAAAAATAAAACTTTTCCTCTGAGCCAAGTCTGGCCAGACACAGTATGATAATGGAAGTATAAACACCTAATTAAGAATAAAAGGAAAATTATGGAGTGGGGCAATAGTGGGGATTGTGCACTTGCCAGAGTGTTAAAGGCTGGGGGCTTGAACTAGTCAGAGACAGGAACTGCAGGAGCATAGATGAAAGGAGACGATCAGGACAAGGACAAGGTGTGACTGTATACAAAAGGTGAAGATGACAAATGCAAGCTCCTTTCTAACTTGCAAAGCAGTATGTGATCATCCTTCTGCCCCTTTTTCCACCCTCCACCAGTGCCTAAAACACCTGCAACTCCCCCCCTGAAATGGTTCTCTCTCACAGTAGGGACTCTGGCAGGATACAGTGAGGTCATAGCGAAGGGAAAGCAGCTCACCCCCCTGATCTTTCAGATCATAAATGAGCTTCGAGTCCTCTCCATACTTCCCAGTCAGAGTTTCCTAGAGAAAAAAAGACAATTGTCAGGTAAGAGAACCAAGGCCCAGGAGCAGAACCCAGCAGCAAGCTGTTCCCAGAAGCAGAGAGTCCCTTGAGCCTGACTTTCCGAGATCAGATCCAAGCCCTCTCCAGTTTTACTATAGAATGAGTTTTCTTTCCTTGGGCACTACTTATAGCTGAGGCATTAGTCAAGGCACCTGTCCCTAAAGTTACAATTAATTCAGCTGCTACCCCTTAATGCACCAAAAATTAAATGGAAACAAAACTACAGAGCCAAGGATCCCACCTAACTTGCACCAGTGATTCACAGTCAAACCCTCCCAGATGTTAACTTGCCATCCCTGCACTCACTGTCAGCTCAAACACAGGGGTGTCAATGACCTCAGCCCCATGACGCTTGAAACAGTTGATGATGGTGCTGAAGACTTTCTCCCGGATGGCCATCTGCTTTGGGCTGAAGTCCTGGGTGCCCTGAGAGCCAAACCCAACAAGAAATGGGTGAAGAAGTGTTAAGAAATTGAAGTATCCTAATGTCATAGATCAGCCAACATCCATGCAGCTGCCAGCTGTGGTGGCTATTCAAAACAGTAACAAAAAGTTCATGACAAGGAACAACTAGGGCTTAAAATTGATGATTCTTTGGTGTAAAAGTCAACCACAAAGAAGGAACAGAATGAGAGAAGAGCTTTAAGGCTGAGATGCTGGAGCTGAGGGTACCCTGCAAGAAACTGCACAATGTAGGTCTGAAAAGGGAAGATCTCTTTCAATGGTGGAAGCACCAATCCAAGTGCAATCAAAGGAAATGAGATAGAATTATTAGGAAAGGAGGCAACTTGGGACAGACCCAGCTCTGTGAAGGAGACAAGCCATTACCTTGGGGGTTTTAAGAATGAAGTTCTTTTTCCCTTCTTCAGTTTCCAGCTGTGCCTTTGTCTGCAGGAGCTTTCCCACAGTTTCTACTATCTGGGAACAGAGACAAGGCTGGTGTTAAAAAAGAGCCTGATTCTGACCTACAAGAGCTAGCTGTCACAGTATGGAGAGATGGCAAGATGACAACTCAGCTGGCAGACTGTAGTAAGTTTCCTTACTATTAGAAGCTCCACTCAAATTCAGGTCCTGGCTTTATTAGGTTCTCTCACATGTAGGGTCTTAAATACTATTAAGGCTCCAACATGGTCCTTGCAGCTCAGCCCAGCATAGCACACAAGAATCAGGGAGCAGTTACTATATAACAATTCCATAATAAGGGAGTGTCTTTACTTTGTCTTTTTTGATAAACTAGAAAGCCCCTAAACCAGACCTAGCATTTTCTAACTAGCCAAAATAAATGCCATTAGCATTGATTGGATTAGTGGTGCCCAACCTTTTGGCCCTGTGAGCTGGATGAGCAGTGTGGGGCCAGTCCACAGGCAGGGAGGGGAAGGGGATGGATCCAGCCGCTAGGTCAAGCCCTACACATCTGGTGCCAGCCTTGAACACAGGCGCTATATAGCACACAGGGGTGTTCCATCCAGCTTGCGGACCTCCCCCCAGTCCCGAAATTTGGCAGGAGGGAAGCAACCAGTAACTGTGTCACCACTTCCCTACCGCCAAATTTCCAGACCTGTGGGGGCCCCGCGGGGCGGATGATACAGGCCTGACGGTGGATGTAGCTCGGGGCCCTGCGCTGTGCTGAAAGCTACCCGGGATTGACGATCCCCTGCTCTCGCCCGACATCGCCCTTCAATTGGCAGACCCTCAGCACTCACCCGGTCCCGGGGACGAGCGGAGAAGGCGCGCAGGGCGCGAGGCGGCCCCCAGGCCCGCGCAGCCGCACGGCGGAGCCCGCTCATAGCTCCGCTCGGCCGGGCCCGCGCCGCTCACAGGGGGCTCG